CGCGACTAGCGACGCTAGCGACGCCTGGCGGTGGCGCCGGCAAGCAGGCATCAAGCGCCATTCATCCCGGGCCCATTCATTCGCTGAGACGCGTTTTGAGCGCCGGAGTCGCTAAGCGGGACTCGAATCCATCGTGTGACCCCACCAATGGATTGCTCGTTCGGAGAGCAATCCATTGGTGGGGTCACACGCTCGGTTCGAGTCCCATTTACCGACTGGGATTTTGATCGCCTCCACTGATCTCTTGGCCTACAGTGCGGCCACTGTTCATTCGTCCAGTGGCCTTTCATCCACTTCATACGGTTATGCTACCTCATTTATCATTCATTCTCATTCATTCATTCATTCATTCATTCATTCATTCATTCATTCATTCATTCATTCACCTCCCATCGCCATCCGTCCATCGACTCGACGCGAGCAGCCTAACCTAAAAGTAAGTTCCCATTTCGGCCGCGACCGCGCCACTTTCTACCTTCCCGTTTTGGTTGGCGGGCCGCGACGCAAACACGCCGAACAAATAATTCGATGGACAAACAGCCCGGTCCGGGCTCCGGCCTGCTCCGGCCGGGCTTCGGGGTATTGGAGACGAGACGCGCCGAGCGCCAGCGATTAAAAAAAATGGAAACGAAAAATAAAATGAAGAAACAAGAATGAGAAAATAACTGTGACTAACTATCCAATTTTTGAGAAGAAAAGGATGGATTTCAAATTTTAAATAAATTGACTTTTAAAAACAGAGAAACGGCGGATAATTTTTTTCAAAAATTAATTAGATTGGCTGGGACTGACGTAAAGTGCCACTCAAACTAAAATTTGGCAAAAAAAAAAAACATAAATCGAAACAAACGGCAAAAGTACTCTCTGGGCGCTGCGGGCGCCGCGGCCCCACACAAAGGCCCAGCTCGTTTATATAAACTTTTGTCCGGAAAGATGGGAAAACAAGAGACGGACGGAAGACAAATAGAGGCCGACGCTTTCAGGCCGTACCCGCTTGACAAACACCTCCGATACCGGGTACGCGCGGCGCGGTGCGCGCAGACAGGTATCTGTCAATACCCACCGCGATGGAGATGCAACGTCCCATTATTTAGAGGCGATTCAAAATGCACAGGGGAAAAAATATCGATAAAAACGACGGCCTCGAGACGCACGCGCGGCAGCACGATGACGAAATGCCGAAAAAAAGAGGAGAGAAATTTCAATCATTTGAATAAAATTATATCGCAGTCGGCTTTATTGGCGTGCCATTTGAATAATTGTCGAGCAGTGACACGGCAAAGACACGGCACCCCATCCGTCCACGCTCGGGCACGCTCGCGTGCGATAAGTACACTGTCAAATGGAGTTCGGTTCGGAAACCGCTCGCCAGCGACCCGCTGCCAGTGTAGCCACACAAGGCAGCCGAAATTCCAACAATCTGCCGAAAGGGTTGCCAACCCCAGCGTGTCTATGGGAAACTCCCCGATATCCAAGCGGCCAAAACGCGTCCAGAGTTTTGCGGGGTGAGGTTGGCAATCCTTCACTCCCAAATTCGCCAGAGGCCGATTCTTCCAAACAGTGCCCCGTCGCTGCGTCTCTCTCGCACCGCTTCGGGGCGCCCCGCCAGTGCGAGAGAGACGGCGCAGCGCTTTGTCCGACAGTCAATGGCGGCGTGGCGCCCCATTCACGGCGACGCCGAGGAGCGCGGGTTCGACGCCCGCCAGCGCGCCGCCGCAGCGTTTCTTTTTGCCTCCACGTCCGCGCTCGGCACGGCACGGCACGCCACGCCACGACACCGCAGACCGCTCATCAGGCGCTTTTATAGCGTATCAGTTCCAATTATTAACAAGGCGTTCCACTGCACGCCGTCTCGCTCGCACTCGGGGGCCGGCGGCCCGTCGGAGGGAGACGGAGCGAACGGCTTCGCGGTAAAAGCAAGTTGCAGGACGGCGCTCATTAATTCCTAGAATCATTTTCATCCGCGATACTCTCGATTCGCCGCGCCGCCGCCAGAGCGCGCCACCACAGTGGGCCAGAAGACCGGTGGAGGCGGCCCAAACTCTGGTCGCTAAACGGGACTCAAACTGAACGTGTGACCCCACCAACGGATTCCTTGTTCGGAGAGCAGTCCATTAGTGGGGTCACACGTTCGGTTCGAGTCCCTTTTAGTGACTCTGGAGCTTAAAACGCGTCCTGGATTTCGGCCGCCTCCACCGGTCTTCTGGCCCACTGTGTCGCCAGCCACCCCCAGCAGCGACGATAAATCGAACTCGATAATCGAACCGGCTTCCGCAGGACGCCATCTGATAACGCCGCCCGGCGGGAGGGCGGCTATCGAGGCGCACGACTTGGATCGCCCAACAACAACAGCAAGGCAAACAGAACAACAACAAAAACAAGAGCGGCAATGCGGGGGCAGCGACCTCCACGGATTTGACCCGCAGCGATCCGCCAACATCAATACGCAGGGGCGTTTTCTCGCACGAACAGGCCGAGAACACGACATGTATCCAAAGGCCGTGTCATTAACGCCTCTACACACAGGCTCTCTCTCTCTCTCTCTCTCTCTCTCTCTCTCTCTCTCGCACACACAACTGGGCCGGACGTCCGGACGCGAAGGACAATACGAATGAATGGAAATGACGAATGAATCGGATAATGCCTCGTAATTGGAAGACACCTCTCTCTCTCTCTCTCAGAGACACAGCGGCGGGCCTCACTTAGATATTTATATATTACGACAGCTGACGAGGCGAGGAGCCATGGGAAAAAAATAGAGAGACGCGCCGCCTGCGCCGCCTTTGGCGCGAGCGTGGCTTCGGTGCCCACGCTCGATCCGTCCACGTTGCTTTCAATCCGCCGCGGCGAGCGTGGCGAGCGTGGCGTCCGGTGCGGGTAGCTACATTGTCAGCACGTAGTTTGCGCTTGCGGCCGACGGAGAGAAGGGGGGGGGGAGGTGGCGGCCGGGTTTTATAGCCAGCGTTTAGCCAAGTCAGTTACGTCCCGTGCTATATGCTGCTGGTTAGCTACGCTCGGTACCTTGCCTCCCCCCCTCCACCTTCAGTCCTTTAAAGACCCGAGCCGTATGCCAACCTGCTACAATGATAGGGGCGATGAGAGAGTCAGCATCGGCGCGGGAAAGAGCACTCGCAGAGAGAGAGAGAGAGAGAGAGAGAGAGAGAGAGAGAGAGAGAGAGGCGAGGTTAGGCAACCCGGCGGCATGCGCGTGTGGCGGGCTGGCCGTCGCCACGGGGCTCCGCACGCTCGCAGTGCCCGCCTGTCTCTCTCGCACCCTCACGGCACTACCCTTCGAGTGCGAGAGAGACAGAGCGAGACCCTTTTTCACCGTCTCCAGTCACCACGTTCACCCCGGCAGTTCACCATCCGCCCTTCCGGCCGGCTCCATATCCGGTCCAGAATAGTCAACGCTCTGGCCGCGGTGGCCGAGAGCAGCGTAGTGCCAAGCCCCCCCCCCCCCCCCCCCCCCCCCCGGGCCACGGCGGCAACACGGAACCCCAGCAGGCACTAGCCTTTCGCATCAAGGTGGACAACGGGCTGACCAACGCCCCCGGCCACAACCACACACAGAGGGCGGCGAGCGAGCACGTGTGTGTGTGTGTGCGATTCATAAATGTCAATATCGCTCTCGCGATGGACTTTGTGATGCAAGTTTTACATTCCGGCCCTCCCTCCCCCCACTCCCCTCCTTTGCCGGCCTTTACGGCCGTCCAGAAAACACACACACACACACATGGCGGCCGGCTGCTTGATTTGTTGCAAACCTCCTTCGCAGAGGCCCCCCCCCCCCTCCCCCGACTCGGCCGTGTCTCGCCGTCCGCCCAACACATTCTAATCCGGCTTGAAATTGTTCCATCCGCGGCCGCGCACGCTCGGCGCGGCGCAAGCTGGGCGACTTTGACCGTGTGACTCACGCCGGAAGCGGAGCGCGCCAAAACGTCGATACCCCGCGACGGGCCGCCCTGGGCTGGCGATACCCCTCGCTTACTTCCCCACTCATTTCCCCGGGCATCGATCAAGGCCGTTAGGCGGACAGACGGACAGCAGGGCGATAATGCAGGTCCGGATTCCTAATTATCTCGGTGTACGTGTAGTGCATGATTCCACCTGAGTTATCGACACGGGTAACCTGCACCGACCCCGGACGGACTCCGGGTAACTCCAGTTACACCGCGGAGGGGATGCCCGATGGTTACCTCACCAACCCGCCGCTCCACACAGTCATCCGAATCACCCTGGTTGGTCCTCCAGTCACGGTTCGAGTCACTCAATATTCACTATAGTTGACAGTTTCTGAGACACCCATTGCCTGGGCACCTCACAACGATTTACCCCCTCTTGCACCGCTTTCAAGGTCTCATCGAACTCAATTATCCTGTTTTTCGTTCTGGTTTTAAAAAAGATTTTTTCAGACAGTCATTTACCCCATTTACCTCAGTTACCCGTCGAAAGTAATGTCTACGTGTTTATACACACGGCCCGCCAAAAATTTCCGAGAATCCCTCTCTGTCTCTCTGCAACATTGAAGCGAATCGAGCGGCGGTCTCGCCTTCGGCGACCGGAGGGGGAGGGGCGGCGGCGGGCCACACCGTAAAAACAAAAATACGGGCATAAAAATTGTCAAAAGCGATTGCGACACAACCGCAACGACAAAGGACCGAAAGGGTTATATCAAAAAAGCCGACGAGCACTCTCCAAAAAATATTTTCAAACGAATCGGCCAGAAACCGAAATTCGACATGACGGAGAGTTTTTTCCGACGTCCGTCTCAAGCGCGTGTGCGCATATCGAAGCAAGGAAAATGATACGCACCCACGCGTGATTTAAAGACCTTATTTTTCACCCGTCAAACTGTTTCAATTAAAGCAAGGCGGTGCCCCGGCGTTGCCGCGCAGGGCCGAGCCCGGCCGATTCATCACACCTCAACCCTCGGCCGGATCGTCACTCGCGGATCACTTTGTTTCTCCCGTTGATTTCTTTAAAAGAAAAGGGTGACTCACTTCGCTTCTGCATGTAGCTGAACAGGTCGTCCAGGAACTCCTTTCTCTTCGGGTCATCGTTGATTTCGTATAACTGCAACAAACAACAACAACACGCACGTTGAATACCGAAAAACAACAACAGTCCTCCCACACCCCCTAGGCCTCAGGTGCTGCTCTCCCACAGGCAAGGCGCTCTAAATGACCACCAATTCCAAATCAATTTTCTCTCCTCCCGTCGTCCTCATCACCTGCTCTCTCAAGTTCCGGGCGAATTTGTCTTCCTTCGGCTGCGGCTGCGCCGTGCGTCTCGGCCTATACCTAATCGCCTGCAGCCCGTACGGTTCAACTCGCCTCATCTCTGCTCAGCAACAACAAGAAGAGCAACAGCCGGAAACTCGATTTATCTAACTCACGGCCCACGCGGCCCCTAGACTAATTTCCTTGCCGTTCAACCAAATTAGAAAGCAAGCCACCTAAAACAAATGAATCCCAACACAGCCTCCGAAAATATCAACACAAAATGGCAGGTTACTAAAAAAACGACTATGCTAAAGGGAAATGTACAATAATGTACAATAATCAGCGATTTTTTGGACATAATCCCCTATTTTAGTGCAGAACCGCGCACTAACAGTTCATATGGTCTTAAAACAGTAACGCCTCGAACAAATTCTGCACAAAAACATTGAGTGTGCAGGAAATGGCGAACTGTCTCATCAGGGACAGGCTTGCGTCAGGTTGCATTGTCCCTCTGACCGCGTGTAAACTCAGCGAATGAGGAACTACCTCTCACCGCAAAGGCCCGCTATAAGACCCTTGATGGATCCCTGGCGGCCCTGGCACACCTCTTGCCAAATGGGAGGGCGAAGGGCTGAAGAAGCAGCGGGCGAACAAGGAAAAGGGGGCAAAGAAGAACGGAATCGGACGAGGATGGAGAGGACGAAGCAACGGCAGCTAGAGAGAGAAAGGAGCCTCTTCGATTTGCTCCCCTCCTTGCCCTAATGAAAACCGTTTACAGCAGAGGCGGCTCGGCGGCGCCGACCAGAATGTAAACTCCCCTTCACCTCGCCACCGCCTTTGCCTCTCCATTTGTTCTCCCTCCGTCTGCATTTCCCGAGGAGTATCATCATTTGTCGATCCTCGCTGGGGCAAAAAGAAAACCCCACAAATCGACAAGAAACGGCCCAAAATTGCACAGCGTATTCTCGCTGGCCCCGAAAGAAAGGGCCAGCCGAAACAAAGCTCCGAGCGGTCGATGTGTGCTATAAAACCGGCCGCGGGAGGCGGCGGGGAATATGCCACGGTTATTACCGATTATTAGGTGCTTATCAGGGCCTGTGATCGGCGCAAAGCTATTGGGTCGAGCTCGCCTCGGGGGAGGCACCAAATTACCTCCCCGTAGTCGAAAAATGGCCGCCTCGCGATGAAACATGCAAAGGAGCCGCCATGCTGTTTTTCTAACCGGCCCGAAACATTCCCGTCTTTTGCAACTCGACCCTCGTAGCATCCTGGTTTTACTGTGGACGGGGCACAGTCCAGAAGCGGCCACCTTGGAAACAGTATTGCTCGCACCCCGGGGAGTGTGTCCTCGTCACACGCGTTCTCTATTGTCATGATGAAACTACGCTGGTCTGAAGTTCGTTGGCTAGAGATTCTAATGAAAAGAATACACTTCTCTAGGCAACACTTCGTAGTCGCGTGGTGACGAAGTCTTGAAATTTCTTACAATAGGCTCGTTTTATATTGTTGAAACTTCAAATGAAAACCTCGGGTAAAATTTGAAGAGTCAGTAGTGTGTCCACTGGTTAGAGATGTCTTTGATGCCATGAACGGCCAGCGCGGATGGGGGGGGTCATCGACATTCGAAGCAGGCCACATGCCCTCATCCGTTCAGCCTAAAAACAACACATGACAACCGCGCGTCTTCGGAGAGGAGGGTGGCGGTGGTGAATCGGAGGTGCCCAGGCGTTTTTTAATGTCTCCATTCAAGTGGGATTACATCTTACCAATACGAGGCAGGGGGTTGCAGGGGGACGGATTCAAGGGGAGGGGGATGCTACGCAGCGGGGGGCATTCTGTGCTACACAAAGCCGCGGGATGTAGACCACACGCTCATGATATGCATAACGCTTCCATAAACAATATTTCCCTTTTCAATAGAGCAGATGAGACGATAGCCGCACACACACACACACACTCACAGAAACACACCCGGAAGGTAAACAGGGGCTGTCGGGTCATCTGTTGCTTCCTGACGCGTCCCTAAGCAGGGCGACGCAGGGTGGGGTGCATACACGATGCCTAGAGGTGCTGCAAGACAGCGCACGGAAACGTGACATCATTTACAGAGTTGGCGAATCGTTCCTCAAATCCAATCGCCGGGGGAAACGAGTTCCGTCCAAATCTCCTGCGCACGCCGATCGGCCGCAAAGCAAGTCGCGACGCTTCAGGGCCGCCAAAGACACGATTGCGAGCTTGCTAGCGGGGAGGGGCAAGGGGTGGGGGTATTCACAATTACACGGGGCTTGGCCACAAAGGGCCGGCAGTGTTCGCGACAAGGCACCGGGCAAGCCACCGGGCAAGCTACGGGGCAAGCCACCGGGCAAGCCACCGGGCAAGCACGGCAAGCCACCGGGCAAGCCACCGGGCAAGCCACCGGGCAAGCCACCGGCAAGGAGGCAGGACAAATCCCCTGCCAAATCCGCTGGGGCGCGCCCCTTCATCAGGACACTATCCTAGCGCATTCTGAAACGGACGTTTTCCTACACAAACTCGCACACACTTCACACACGAAAAAAAAAAAAACAAAGGAAAAAACTTGAGCAAAATTGCACAGTTATTTTCTCAACAATCGTTTCCGTCGCTAATCCTTTTCTTGTTGCGACACAGACCGGACACGGCAGGTCCGATTCCAAGATCTCGCTGTGCGCTAATCACTGGGAGAGAGAGGCGGGGAGGGGGAGGCGGTGCACGCGGATTCCCACACAGGTGGCCATTGGAGCGTGAACGTACGGCACACATGCGGGTTCTATCGCGGGCAATCCAGTCCGGGCGGACGAGTCGAGCACCGAGCCCAGCCGCGCCGACCGGCCCCGTCGTCCCCGTACAGGCCGTGCAGGCGGCGTGCGGTCACGCCAGCCACGCGTGAGCAGCGTCGCCACACTGTTAAAAGGTGTCAGAGTTGTTTTGACCTGAAAAATCTCCCCAGTCGTCAGCAACGTGATTCTTGCTTCCGAGGAGAAGTGAGTCCTGGGCGTGTTCGATGATCAGTCCACTGAAAAAGGGGCCGTCCAGATCGATTTGTCACCTCCGGAACCTCCAGGCCGCTTCGACACAATTTATTCCAGCCGATAAAAAGCCACCCAGGACAACCGGCGGCGGCCCCAAGCAGCCCCACCCGGACTCGTCGGCTGGCCACCCCGGCGACGACTGAGATAAATCGTTTTCTAATGTCAATATTAAACACACGACACGGGAGTCTGTCTGGACCACTTGACTACCTCGACGGCTCCATCCCGACGCCTCCATTGTGCGGGCCGGGCCCGGCACAGCCCGGCGGGGCGGCAGATTGCTTTATTTACCCACAAGGGTGGTGCGTGCGTGGCACTGCGTGCGAATAGACGGCCCACCTCACAAAGCGACACGCGCGGCTAATCCGACTTGTTCGGCTTGCCATGGCTTGCCAGCCATCGGCTCTCGCCTAGCTGAACACGCACAACAAACAGCATCTCCTCGGCAAACTGAATGCCCCTCGGGTTGGTTGGTAGCCGTGGCGGTGGCGTGGCAGTTAGCGCCCGAACGCTAATGCCCCCTCGACCCGCTTCGCCGTCCCTCTCCCTCCAATCATGTGTCACGCCAATCAAAAACAGCCACAAGCCTCATGGTCCTCGGAAGCGAGTTTGATCAGTCAGTCAGTGGGTTCCTTGTTCACGTGATCAGAGGACTTTGTTTGGGAGGAGCCAGAAAGGGTCTACCGGGAGGTCCCCCGTTGACATCAATGTTCGCCTGCTTACATCTGATGAGGTCACTGTCAAATTTGCCCTCTGGATCCGTGTCCTTCGTTGATGGCAAAACTTCACATGGCTCAGAGCTGCAGATGCCATTCAGAACCTTGTAAAGCAGTGCGGGAAAGCGCTTAGGCCTCACAGTGGAGCCAAAGGCGAGTCGGAGGCAAGCCAGAGGTGAATCAGGTGCGCTCATCCATGATTGATACTTCACAAACACATCAAGCGGGGTCCATCGGGACGGCATTCATCTACCTCAGCCGACACCCTCTCAACGGGGAAACAAATCGATAGGCGTGACAACCATCTGGCGCCGGGGCCGTAGCCATCGGCGCAGCCAGAGGATGACCAAATTCAACAAATGGCCGAGACGCGTTCCTTACACGTCGATTTCATCAAGGAGTTGATCCTTGCCGGACAGGCGCCTCATCAACTGTGCAGCTCGCTGTCTTCTTCGTTCCTCTTTCTCTTCTCGTCCTTCGCTTTGCTCTTTCGTCTCATTTTTCTTCTTTGCTCGAAGTCTCCAGCTTGCTCTGAATCTTCTCCTGGATCAAAATCTCCTAATGTGCTCCTTGTTCTTCCTCTTGCTCGGTCCTCTTCTTCCTCCTCCCCTCCTTCTCCCACGCTGAGGTCACTGCATCGGCTCGTGCCCGGTCCAGCAAATTGGACGCGTCGGGCCATTAGCCGACCACTACACCCGGATTAATTAATCCGCCTGTCAGCGCGGGAAATTTAAAAGAAACAAAACAATAAAAAGCCCGATCCACATTGTGGGGTCGTCGACGTGGCGAAGCATCACACTGGAATTCAGTTCAGCAGGTCCCCGGGCGATATTGGTCGTTAAGCGACCACATCCTTTACGCATCCGATCACTTTAAGGCACCTCGCCCCCCACGGGCCCCGCGGGCCCCACGGGCTCGCGGCACGCCGCGGCACGCGCGATCTTATCGTCGACATCATCAGGTTCTGGGCCGCGCCGCGCCAGGCCACGCCCTGACAAAGTACCAGCGCCGGGGGCGGCTAGCGACGCCCAATGGTTAATCTGTATTTGGCTTTGCGTGCAGTATAGGGCCGCCCTGGGTGAATA